AAATAGTAATCATTGCAGTATTAAGAAAAAGCAAAAGGATATTTCTAACAAATTCTTTTTAAATACAAAATGACATTTTTATGATTTTTTTATTCTATCGGTCATTTTCAGTCATTCTAATACACATCTTTGTCTTAACATTATTCAGTTATACCTATTTATTAGAGGCGGATTATTTTTCATAAATAACAATCTCGAAAAATAAAAAAAATAAAAAATATCTTTTATAAATGAAAACATTATTAAATATTTAAGAACTTCAATAAAAAAATACTTACTTTTTAGTGTGAAAAACTTTAACTTGATGTACAGGTGTCCGTTGGTTTCGGCGAACAATCAAACGTTTATGGGTGATGGGAAATCAGTGTTGCCACTTAAAAATAATATTACCAACCAAATTCGTTCTTAAGCTACCGAAATAATGCAGGTGGCTCTTTCAAAGCTTGGCTCCTTCATGCCACTTCTCCCCTACACTTAATTATTTTTTATAATATTTGAACTTTAGCTTCCGATTTTCTATTAGTTTCTTCCATGATAGTTTTGATAAATTTTGAAAACACTTTTATTAGGGCATATATTAAATTTACGTATTATCCTAGATGACTGTTGCTATTATATGTCAGTGCAAGAAACTGTTGTTGTCTCTAGAAACATACAATCTATCATAATTTGTGGAAGTCATAGTCATTCTTTTTTTTTATTCGTGGGTGGATGAAGTTTCTTGTTTTTTTTTTTTGACTTCTCAGCTGAGTGTAGCTCACATCATTAGATATTCTAGGAGTTTACAAACGAATTTTCTACTACTATTTCTTATAATTATTCATGCCTTTTGTTTTCATATCGTCACACATTTTGCATTTATCCTGTTTGTTTCGGAAAGTTAAATAGACAGGTTAATGCACTTAGGCAATTGTAAACAATACAATGTCATGATCAGCGTTAATTTCAAAGACACGAAGTTTCTACATTTTAACTAGAATCGTCTATTCTTTTCTTAATTAACTGAATTTTGAGAAACGGCAATTATACCTACCTTATTTTATTAACAAAGAGCAAATAGTTATTGTATTTAATAACCATTGTATGCAATGTATGTAGATTTGTAGATAGATATGGTAATATTAGTCCTAGTAGAAACTGTTTAGGGTTTTTAAAATGATAACGATTAATTACCCCAATAAAGGCCTTTATATCTCAAAAGGAAAAATGAACACTTGGGTATCCTTCTGCTTGTCTGTCTGTCTGTCTGTCCTTTTTCTCAAAAAACATGTGGAGTTATTAAGTTGAAATTAATATCAAAAACTCCAATCCCTTGCAACTGTAAAAAATCAAACTTAATTAACGTAATCAAAAGATTTAAGAAACTTAACGTTCATCTAGGATCATGAAATTTGATAAAAAGCAATACCTTACAGCACAAGTAAAGGGAAAAATCCGAAAAACGTAATTTTGGGGGTAAAATTATTGGAAGAAAGCAGGAATAATCTTCAAAACTCGATTCCGGTGACCGATGAACTATTTATAGGGTTGTTCGGAAGGTCATTTCGTTTTTTCCCGACAGAAGATTTAATTGTATTCTTTTGCACCCAACTTCACATTTAAGCCGTATAATTTTTATATGCTTTGAGAGCTCATATAGCAAGGCTTGTGTGTGAAAAATTCCAATTAATTCTACGCAGTAGTTTTTGGTTGGTGCCCTTTTAAATATGGAGAGCGATAAGCAGCATTTTCGACATATCTTACTGTTTTACTACAGAAAGGGTAAAAATGCTGTTCAAGCCAGAAAGAAATTGACTGATGTGTATGGAGAAGGTGTGTTGACAGTACGCCAGTGCCAGAACTGGTTCGCTAAATTTCGATCCGGCAATTTTGATGTCGAAGATGCACCACGTTCGGGAAGGCCGGTTGAAGCTGATAAAGACGCGATAAAGGCATTAGTTGATGTGAACCGGCGAATAACAACACGTGAGATCGGATTGAGGTTAAATTTATCAAATTCAACAGTTTATGACCACTTGAAAGGCCTGGGATTATCCTCGAAGCTCGATGTATGGGTTCCCCATGTTCTCACAGAGAGAAATCTGTGTCGCCGCATTGACGTCTGCGATTCGCTTCTCAAACGTCACGAAAATGATCCGTTTTTGAAGCGCATCATCACTGGGGAACAAAAATGGGTTGTATACAACAACGTCAAACGCAAGAGGTCATGGAGCAAAAAAGATGAACCGGCTCAAACCATTTCCAAAGCCCATATTCACCAAAAAAAGGTGATGCTGTCTGTTTGGTGGGATTTTAAAGGAATCGTTTTTTTTTGAGCTTTTACCGGATAACAACAATAATACTACCAGATAATTATCTTTTCCACAAAGAGATGTATCGGGTTGTTCGGAAAGTCATTTCGTTTTTTCCCGACAGAGGATTTAATTGTATTCTTTTGCACCCAACGCGAGACCTCACACAAGTTTGGTCACTCGCCAAAAGCTTTTACAGCTTGAATGGGATACAATGCTACACCCACCATATTCTCCAGACCTGGCACCATCGGATTATTATTTGTTCCGGTCACTCCAAAATTTTTTAGACGGTAAAACCTTCACCTCAAATGAGGAGGTCAAAAACCTCCTCGATCAGTTTTTTGCCAGCAAAGACCAAAAATTTTATGAGCGTGGAATTACGCTACTACCAGAAAGATGGCAAAAGGTGTTGGACCAGAACGGTCAATATATAATTTAATAAAGTATTTGTTTATTATACGAAAACTATCTTTCATTTCCACAAAAAAAAACGAAATGACTTTCCGAACAACCCTATACATATTTAGAAGATTGTACGAAAATCCCTTTGCGCCAGCCCCACTATTGGCAATGAATAGGGTTTAACAATTGATTAGTACAAAAAATTTATTGTTATTTCACCGCCGGACTATCTTAGCAGTTGCTGATGCTAAAAACATTACTTGAGTAATCAGAAGTGTCAAACAGAGGGCTATCTTTCATTTCCACAAAAAAAAACGAAATGACTTTCCGAACAACCCTATACATATTTAGAAGATTGTACGAAAATCCCTTTGCGCCAGCCCCACTATTGGCAATGAATAGGGTTTAACAATTGATTAGTACAAAAAATTTATTGTTATTTCACCGCCGGACTATCTTAGCAGTTGCTGATGCTAAAAACATTACTTGAGTAATCAGAAGTGTCAAACAGAGGGCAAGTTTTCACTTTGCTTATCTCTGAAACATGACACAGGAAGGTATGTAGAATGAACTGACAGCCTACTTCCTCTTCTTTTTCGCTTTTCTCTTTGCAACCAAAACATCAAAAGGACAATTAAATCTAGTATAAATAAGAAACAGATGGACTTTATGTCTATTCAAAAAAAGATGAAGTAGCTTTTGACTTTATTTTCAAATGGATCAACTAAATACCTTTCTTAATAATTATACCCTAGAGTTCTTGAACATCTGAAAACGTTATAACGCTATCGACATATTTAGCCCGATGATTAAAAGATGTCAATTGGATTAACGGTTGTTTTAAAATGCAATAGAACCAACATAATGCTACTAAAGAAGCACAGGCCTACATACAGAGTTATTAAAGTTACAGAAAATTTAAATGTTTCGCCAAACAGTAGTAGAGGTGATTCAGAATCCCATGTGCTATAAAAATAATAATATCATTCAGAAGAAGCGACTGTTTCTGGAATCGTGCTGCGCAATAAATTAAAATTGATATTCATTTATGTCTTTAAAATGAACGTTATTTATATATAAAGTGTATTTTGTACTTGTAAAAACTCTTCATGTAAGTTTATAAAGAAATAGTCAATTCGTTTCGTAATGGGCATTTTAATGCGAACTTAATATAGTCAACTGTTCTTATTAACACAGTCAATTAAAACTGCCTATTAATATTCCAATTTTAAAATCAAAACATCTATTCAACAGTTCATTTTGGAAATTTCCACAAATTTTTGGGACATTTGTTAATTCATGAATATATTATTCTTTTGTTATCATTGTCGGCCAGCGATATGCTTTTATTTTTTCAACATGCACCTTTCATTTGGTACCATTTAGGACAATATGCTCGTCTTCAAGAACTCCAAATGTTTCGCACAAAATTTTCCCGAATATGCCATACTTTATCTTTTGGGCAATAAAATTGGTTAAATAGTACGGGGTAGGCATGTTTGTGATAATAGTTTTTTCTAAAATAATAATAAAAATGACTGATCATGAAAATGAATTACGTTTGAAATCGACTTTTTGAAAAGCAATTTTCTACTTATGTTTTGAAAAATGGGAAAAATTAAGAATTGTTTTGAAAATTCTCTGATGCACGTTTAAAATGTTTGAAGCATGGGTCCGCTAACTCTCGAAGGTGTTCAGAAAGTTATAGCCTTATAAGATCTGAATTGAAATTATTTAAAAAATAGCAAGTAGAGATAACGCAATATCTTCCATCTATTAGGGAACTAAATGGTTTTCTTTAAGGGAAATTAATGACTGTATAACTCTTAGAGTGCCTTGGGGTTTATTATTTCAGTATTAAATTAGTCAATAAATTAACAACTTAATTCCTGCAAACAACTACAATTATTATTCTATATATAACTTATTGTTATTAATGAAAAGGCTAAAAAAAAAACAAAGGATGATCCAACCATTTATGTAATTTCCATTTCTTATCTTCTTCAGGATATTACTGTGAACAATTTATTTCACTTATTTTTTATTCTATACAAAACGGTGTCGTATATTATATGATTGCATATTTTGATTATTTGACCAACCATTACGACAAGCTGTTTTCTAAAAAAATAATTGCCAGTTTAATAACTGAACTGGGTAAAAAAAATCAAGAATTTGCAATTATGAAAACCTTTACACCAAAAGAGGGAACATTGGTGTTATTTGCTATAACGTAGTATTTTGTTGTTAGTGGTTTGGTTTCCACAATGATTGATTATTTATTAGTATTGTTTTAATTTTCAGATCCTCGGACAAACAATTGGCCACTAATAGGCGATCCCATACCTGGTTTAACCATCATAGGACTTTACCTTTATTTCGTCACAAAATGGGGACCTAGATACATGAAAGACAGGAAACCCTACGAACTAAAGAATATACTTATAGTTTACAATTTTATCCAAGTTTTAGTTAGTATTTATATTTTTTGTGAGGTAAGCACTGCAACCATTACTCCTTTCGCAATCAATTTTTGAAAATGATTACAGTTTCTAACAGGTTTATTTATTTGCACAAAAAATGTGAAATCATTTTGTTTCTTTTAAATATTTGTTAACAGAATTGCAAATTTTAAACAAAGAGCGCCGTAAAATAATTCGAACTGGTCTGTATTCTGTCGAAACTGCCAGACGCGGATCGCGGTCTGTATGAGATCCAAAGAGATCGAAATCGCGATCCGCGTCTGACAGTTTCGACAGAATACAGACCACTTCGAATTATTTTATTCGATTAAGCTAATGTGCCTATCACGTTGAGGTTGGCTACGCCAGGATTCGTTTTCAGCAAGTAGATATCCACACAAGTGGACCTTGTTGAAAAATACGTAATCCTAAAATGTAGCATCGTGCTACAGATGGCGTTAACTGTGCCGTTTGTAGTATTTTCTGAAAGAGCGCCGTATTCAATGAAAAAGCCGCATCAAAATAAATATAATAAAAATTCAAATTTTGTTTACAGGGCATGGCTGGAGCATGGTTAACCAAATACAGTTGGCGCTGTGAACCTGTAGACTTTTCCTATTCGCCACACGCATTACGAGTAAGTGACATTACAATTCCTTTTTTCAATTTAAAGGTGTTATCTATTGGGAAAGAAAATTCTATCTTTGTTTCTGATTAACATTAACTTATCGAAATTCTACTGTTAACATTAATTGGTATCTAGTATCTGTAAAACGCTTTTCTTTTGGTTCAATTTTAGGAAACGATTGGAGTACGTTTTTAATACCATTGAAGTGACATTCTTAATTTTTCATTTTTGTTTTGTTTTCTGTTTAGGTTGCAAGAGGCTGTTACTTGTACTTCCTGGCGAAAATATCGGAATTACTGGACACAGTTTTCTTCGTTCTCAGAAAAAAGAATAATCAAATAACGTTCCTGCATTTATATCATCACACAGTTATGCCCATGATCAGTTGGGGCTGCACCAAGTATTATCCCGGAGGTCACGGAACTTTCATCGGAGTCATTAATTCATTTGTACACATCATCATGTACTTTTACTACATGATGGCCGCTATGGGACCCCAATACCAAAAGTATCTTTGGTGGAAGAAATACATAACCACTTTGCAAATGGTAAGACGAAAGTTTAGCAAAAGTTGAATCTTGAGTAGGTAAAGCAATTGGTAAGGAAATTTCAAAAATTTCATCTGATACAGAGGAGTATATAATGAAAATAAATAAAAAATATAGCTATGTAAAGTAAAATAGAGTTGGAGCTAATACGAAAGTAGGGGATGAAGAATTGGAAGTAGTCGCAGATACTCGATACCCTAGAGTAAAATTTTAAGTTTCTCTCCAGTCTCTCAGAGTCTTTCAGAATCTTTCAGCGTCTCTGAGAGTGTCTCTCACAGTTTTTCACATTCAGTTATTGCCTAGGTGTTTTTATGAATCTCTCATAGTTTCTGTATGAGAGACTCGAACGATAAAATTGTTAATTCAGAGATTCGAGTTTCTCACACAGAGACTGAATGAATAAAAGTGAAAAATTGATAGGCTCGAGTCTCTCGTAGAAAGACTGGGATCTCTGAAACATGTGGAACTTTTTAACCATATCTATCGACACCACTTATTGAGAGATTCGAGTCTCTCGTTCAGAGACTGTATACGAAATGAGGATTTCTCTACGAGCATCTCGAGTCTCTCGTTCAGAGACGCTAAACAGTTTTTTTGACAGTCTCTCTCAACGACACCAGAGAGACTCGAGGAGAGACGGAGACTCGAGTCTCGCTTTCAGAGACTTTGAGAGACTGAACATTTTTATCTCGGGTATCTATTAGGTAATCAGATAAATTACATTTCATTGCTAGTAATTTTCTCAAATTCTTTACTAAAACTGAATTTATTTATAAATACGTATACATCTACAACTTTGTTTTGCATTTACATTGACGTTAAAAAAACTAGCCTTGGTTGATAAAGCTTGACATCTAGGGCTAAACATTGGCGGTTGTTTTTTAAACATTTTTGGGTTTGATTTCACACTAAGTATAAAAAAAAGCAAGAACGGAGAATTGGAATAATTGTTTACTTTCCATTTTCAGTCCCAATTCTGCATAGCCTTTCTCCACTCCATGCAGCTGCTGTTCTATGACTGTGGTTATCCCAGATGGTCACTATTCTTCACGCTTCCTAACGCCATCTTCTTCTATTATCTCTTCGACGATTTCTACAACAAGGCTTACAAGAGAGACAAGAAAGAGTCAATCGTCTGCAACAATAACGACCAACTGTCAGAGGAAGTTCATTTAAAACAATCTAATGGAGCTGTTGGTAAATCCGACGGTACGAACGGTACATACCGGATTCGTAACGGATCAATCACAACGGCGAACGATAATTACAAACAGAATGGCAACAGTTACTCGGATTCGGACTATAAGCTCTACAAAGAATGTTTGAACGAAAACGGGCTCGTTAAGAAAGATGTTTAATAAATTTTAATTTTAATAGTTTTTACGTTTTTTTATTATTTTGTTATTGTAAGGTGAGAAATATATTTATTACATTTTTCAGGTGCCATTTTGGCTTTATTTTTTTTTTTAATATCAAATTTTTAATGATCAAATATGAGCGTTGCTAAATCCCTGCATTAGTAGAGTTTGGATGTTGGCACTCAGAATCGGCAGATGTTGTTAGCGTTTACGTTTATTTTTACAGATTTTGTACCTTTTGGAAACACTTTCAGAGTGCACCTTGGGCGTTACTAACGCTAGTTTCGTCACTGTTTATTAGTAGGTACTGAGATTTACTAGAACTAGTTGCAATTTTAGAAGTCTGCTCCGCATTATTAAGGTTATCACACACATGTCCGGTCCGTCCCGTCAACGGAACAGATTGTCGGCCTCCGATTTTTCCCGGCAAAGAACTGTATCAGAAGGAGTTTTGAAAATTTATTAGATCACATTCTTAAACATTGAAAAATTTCTTCTCTTCTTATTTACACAGATGTTGGAACTCTCTAAGATTCCCCCTTTTTTATTAATGAGATCCTCTTTCTCTTCTTTTTACTTTCTTCTTCTTTTGTCAAAAATAATGAGGTCAATACTATTTCTTCATCTTCCTCATCAGAACTGCTGCTTTCAGATATGGTGAATCTGTCACTCCTGCAAGTAAAATAAACTAACAAAAGTATCTTTCACAGCAGACTAAAAATTGCTGGTTTATTTCCACCGGAGAAGTGGGTGACAAGCTTAAATCCTAACCGTTGCCAATGTGTGAAACAGGCAACAGTTGATAAATTTCGATATCAGTATCAACAGTATTTCTTTCAGTATGATCCAGTTTCATTGTTGAAATAGTACGTAGGTAGGTTGAACAGTTCTTGAAATGGATGAAGGAAATTGATTAATATAATGCAAACGCACAATTACAATATTTAAGACTTTAAAACTATTGAAACTAAAACTTTTCTTATTAATGAGGAGAATTAATTTTTTTTTACCTGTTCTTCCTCCAAAGCACTTACTATTACAAAAATGTCTTCCTCTGATTAGTTAACTGTCTTTATTTTGTTTCTGATGATGTGTTCGATACGAGACTACCGGTGTAGGGGTGATAATAATGAACGGTTCAGTAGGCGGTGAGTAAACCGGAGCCGACAGGTTCCGTTGCGTGACCTGTCGGTCTAATGTGCGGGATCCTTTACGCTGGTTGCACATTACACGTTTTCGCCCGCACGATCAAAAGTCGTACGAGTTTATATCGTGGTGCAGTTGCTTTCACACTGTACGATTTTAAACGTAGAAATCACACGATTTGTAACCGTACAAAAACATTATTCAGATACATATGCTCGTTGTCACCATTTCTGAGGAAAGTATTGTACAGTGACTATGAATCGGGGGCAAATTATAGCTCGGTTATTGTATCTAAAAAGACAAAGGCGTGAGCGCCTTCATTGGGTGCATCCTATTAATCAGAAACGTGAGGAAATGGGGTTATTCTATACCTTGTTTGAAGACCTGAGAAATGATGAACGGAAGTTTTTCAACTACTTTCGTATGTCAGTTGACTCCTTTGACGAACTGCACGGCAAATTGCAGAATGTCCTTCGACGGCAAAACACACAATTTAGAAATTGTGTACAACTTATTGAAATGCTAGCTATAACTTTAAGGTAATAAGTGTCTTTAACACCGACTGCTTTTACTTCCCTTGCAGAGGGAGGTATTGTTATCTTAAAAAGAATCATCCTCCGAGATCATTGCTTATTTTCACGTTGTAGAATCTCTAAACCACGAAATACATATTTGTTTTCCAAAAACCGTCAGTCAGTTTGACGGTCTGTCCGTCTGTCTGCTGGAAATTATTGAAAAGCTATTTTTTGAAGGTATATTAAACCGCAAAAGAAACAACTGTAAACTGTAAACAACGCGAATTAAATGGTAGTAGTAGACAGGTTCCCGCACGATTGAAACCGTCTAGTATGAAAGGGTGCATTTGGCCACGTAGTCCACTAAGCGAAGATACGATACGGCTACCGTTCAAATGTAGTGGCACTGGACGGCTGCAACGCGATCAAAAATCGTGTCCGTGCCGTAACCGTACAATGTGAAAGACCTCCATACTCTTCATAGGAGACTAAAAATATTTGCCCGTACGATTTATTCCCGCACGGGCAAAAACGTGTAATGTGCAAGGAGGGTTAGGATACGAATGCATTTTTTAACGTATATATACTTCAAATCAAACAATGACACACTTGGAAATTTAGAAAAAATAGACCATTTGGAAATTTTGATGATAATTTTTTGGCGATTTAAATCAATTAGAGCGTATTTAAGCGGCTATGACAGTTATTTTTTTTTTTATTATACCTGTTTATTTAATTTTTTCTGTTTGTTAGTTATTTGCAGGTAGGTATTACCTTTCTGTTTTCTTCATAGAAATATGTTTCGAAGTTTTTCAAACTAATAAAATTCCAGAATAATGACCTAACTTTAAAAAAAAATAGTCTCAACCCTACATCCTAACCTAACCCAGCTCTTGATCATATTTAATTAATATAATTCGCTAAAAAGACGTTTCTGCTTTACATATAATTATTATCGTTTGAATGTAGATTATTAATGAATACAATTTTCTAATAAGTTTGTGTAAGTTAAACTAAAATTAAAACGGGGTAAGGTTTTATACCTAAACGTTTTACCCGGCCTACTTTTATTTTTATATGTAGGTAATTATACACATATAAAGGGGATGTGGATGAATTAAGGATTACTTATATATCTTAAACACAACCGGATCAAGAACTGTGCCTAAAAGGCATTATGTGAATCAGTTTTCTTTTTTCTTTTGTAGAATATGTATTTTGCCAAATCAAAAGCATCTGATAAATGAAATCAAATTTTTTAACGCTTTTCGCGAAACCAGCAACATAGAGAGGTTTAAGGTAGATTTTATTAAATTTAAAAAAATTGTCAATTGAAAAATAATTTCCTATTCTTTTAGAAGTAAATATCATACTTTTAATATCAAAAAAATGTATAAATATGTAACTCGAGGCGATCAAAGAGCACTCTGGTGATATTTAGAAAATCATAAAATTGATATTTTAACATTTCACTACGCCTGATGTTTTAAGTAGGGATGTACAATTAGAGACCACGCCTTTTTAAGTAGTTCTTTTTCTGGTAGTTAACCCAATATATTCCTATATTTAAAATATAAACGATAAAAATGCTTTGTTTTTTTGGAACAGGTACAAACCATTCAAGGCTGACGTTTTTAGCTATTTGAAATTTGAATCGGAAAGATGTAGCTTGATACCTGTAGCATTACTAATAGTTTCGCAAATATCTGCTGTATTTAGAACAATTTGATTATTAATTTTTATGTATAGATGGGAAAATATAGATCTGAATCTGTAAATTTCTATGCAGTGCCTAATTCCTTGAAAAAAAAAAAAAAAAGCGAGAAAGTCGTTTGTGCCGCCAACAATAAGAAATGCCCATTCGCAAAGTTGGTAAAACTGCGTATATAATTCTTAATAAGCACTGCCAATTATAAGGCTTTTAGATTTTACAGGCAGGGAAAGTAGACCATTTCTAACAGCTTTGTGTGAAAAACATCACAACTTTTAAAATGCTGTTCAATTAATTGTTTCATTGTAATTTAAGAAATTTCAAAGGTTATATTAATAGGTACGTATATTTATAAAACAAAATGGTTTACAGATAGAATATTATGTCCTTTTTCTTTTTTTTTTAGTATGGATTTTTTGTGTTATAAAATATCTTCTTCTGCTTTTAGTTAATTGCTTAGCATTACTATTATAAAATAAGTACTTATGGGTACCCGAGATAAAAATGTTCAGTCTCTCATAGTCTCTGAAAGCGAGACTCGAGTCTCCGTCTCTCATCGAGTCTCTCTGGTGTCGCTGAGAGAGACTGTCAAAAAGACTGTTTAGCGTCTCTGAACGAGAGACTCGAGTCGCTCAATTTTTCAATTTTATTCATTCAGTTTCTCTGTGAGAGACTCGAATCTCTGAATTAACAATTTTATCGTTCGAGTCTCTCATACAGAGACTGTGAGAGATCCATGGATACACCTAGCCAATAACTGAGAGACTGTGAAAGACTGTGAGAGACCCTCTCAGAGACGCTGAAAGACTCTGAGAGACTGAAAATTTTTGTCTAGGGTATACCAATTTTAATATGAAGCTAACTAATAGGGGAGCATTGTCTCTGAATAAGTCAATTCTTCTTACGGTATTAGGGATTTAAGTGTATAAAGATGGAGGCATGTTAATTATTTAAAATTCATTATCAGTAAAGGTTTTTTTCATTAAAGTTGATTGGATTGATTGCGCTTACGAAAACTTAGTTTTTAATATTGCATCTCAATTTATTTAGTTGTTGTTTCTCTGTAATCCACGTAGAGTGTTTGATGGGATAACTAGGTCATATTTTAATTAAAACGCCTTTGTTCACAGGTATTCAATTAATTCGTAAAGTTTTGTAAGTATCAGATAGCATAGATGCATAGTGTTTTATTCAATGTACCTATAAGCTAGTTATTGAATTAAGCGCTCAAATTAATTTAATTAGAATATTAAGGTAATAATGTAATGCTAATATACGGATTCTTGTACTAACAAAACAACTCTTTGTAGATTAAGTACTCAAATGGTTGTGTTTTCTTAAGTACGTAATCAATAATCACGTTTTTTTAATTAGTCAATTAAAGTGATAAACAGAATTAATCGTAAGTGCAGAGATTTATTACTTTTCTTCTAATCTGATCCTTCAAAATAGTAGAACATTTACTGGCGTTGAACTAAAATAAAAATGTTCTACAAAATAAAACAAAACATTGTACCTACTTAAATATTTCTTTTCTGATATCGGAATAAATGTAATTATATGAAGATTATGTTAGAGTACTAACATGAAAAAAAGAGTAAACTTTACCGCTAAATGTTCAAATTTACCGAGAACTCTTGAATTCCCAATCAAGTTAAGAAATGGAACTCATTTTTACCCTTAAATATTAAAACGCGAGAATAGTGAAGAATTTTAGGGAATTTTCAACCTTTATATCTTTAGACATTCAGGCCAAAATGATATTTAAATAAACAAATAACGATGAATTAAGAAAATTATTCATATAAAGGAAGGCTCAAGTATTTTGTTAGGTACAATTCATTTGTTTTTAGTTTTCTTCTTTTATTGCATTATGTCGTAATTCCAAAGCTTACTAGAAGTATATATCAAATTTAAATAATTTTGATATCCTTAGAGATCCTTAGAAAACGGAACTTATTATTACCTTTTTCATTTCGCTTTGATAAGATTTTCTTTCTTTTATTTGCCATTAAACACAAAGGAAGAAGATACTTGATCTCAACTTTCATACCAAAATATCCAACTTGTTGAATTTTGGAAATTCAACTTATACCTTTGATAAAATTTTCTTTAGTTGACTTGAGCCCTGATAAGGCTTTTTATTGCTTTTGAATCGAAATTGTGTAACAAAGGGATATCGACGTTTTGTTTAAAATCAATTCGGTAATGTGGTATCTAAGACTATCTGGAACAGGGTCAATTTCTGTCATAGGTTTATTATGTAACAAACAGAAATTATCGATATTCGCATAATAAAAAACATCATTCGAATTCGAAAGTAGAAAAAATGACTGAAGGGTTATATTAAAACGAACTTTTAAACTTGAATGTGTTAGGCCTAATACCTATAAAAAAGGCACTATGATAAAGTCATGTCGCTGTAACTAATAAAAATTAATTAATTTCGAAATAATTTAAGTCAACTTTAAAATATTATTGTCATATTATTAAAAAAAAAAGAACATATAAAAACAGAATAAGCTCTTGGTCAGTCACTTAGTGAAATTGCCAAATCGCAATTTTAACCCTATTAGATATCATCAGCACGCCACAGACAGTATTGATTAATCACCGATTAAATTGAAGAATATCTTTAAAAGCATATTGATTATAAAAATACAGTTTCTGTGAACACAAATTAATAAAAAATAAAACACGGGTGTTTTTTCAGTTTGATCGTTTTGTTAATTCTAAAGCAACTGTTTGAATGTTTTAGTAATCAAGTAAAGTAATATCTGGAAATGTTAAAATGAAAGTTAATCGTTTTAAAGTGTTGAAAAGTATCAGTTGTGTAGTTACAACAATAAAACGAAAATTAGCTTTTTCAAAGGGCAATTACCTATTATATAAGGATATTCGATCACATGCATCCATTAAAGGGCAGCATCACCTTTTGAAAAATGTGGTTTAGGGAAATTCGAAAAAACATCTTCAGCTACTTTTCAATATAAGTAATAAATAATATTTATAAATCCATTAAATATAACAAACATGCATTTTCGTTCGTATTACATGAAAATAAAAAATGCCGATAAAGAAATGTGTAATTTCCATGTTCGGTAAATATTTTGTCTTACCTGTAGGTATGTCTCCTAAATCTCAATCCTACAATGAAATTTGAAAGAAATGCTTCCTTGCACTGTCTTCCTCTGCTTTGTATAATTATTTTTAAATGAATTGTTTATACAATAGTTGTATTAATTTTTTTGTATTATTTATTGTCGTATGTCCTACAACTGTAGTATAATAACGATTTTAAATAAAAGTCATTAAATTAATATGGCATAATTTATTAATTAATTAAAATAAATAATATAAATACAAAACTCTTTTTCAAGAGACAGACCACTCCTACTATTAAAGACATCACTTAATAACATTAAAATTAAATCTTTGAGAGTAATAACTGGAAAAAACTGTTTTGAATCAACAGCTGTTAGTAAATTTCCAAAACATTAAGTTGATTTTAAATTTCAGTTAAAACTGCCAATAGTCCCATTATCACGTTGTCTTACACATTTCCTTTATTAGTTCCAATATGTAGTGTTATAGTAATCTCTGTCAGTTTTTATTATCATTAACTTATCGCTAGTAACGTAACAGTAAAAGTCTTATTCGGTTTTGAGATAGTATGATTGCGTTGTGTTGGCAGCAACTTTGGTAGGTTTTTTGTAAGCTTTTCTGTAAAAATCTGAGAAAAGAAACAGGAATATAGTGACGTTGGCCACAAAGAAGAATGTCAAAGCTTTTGGTAGTTTGCAGTCCATTGCAATCAGGTAAATCAAGTAAACCAACATTATGCAGAACTGAGTCTGAAAAAAGAAAAAAATGCAGTCAAGTAAAAGAGAATTGTAAGATATATATATATTTGTAGGTACTTTAAAATAAGAGCTGTCATAGGGGCAAAAATTTAACTCGAAGCACATGGGTCTCAAAACTGTCATGAATAAAAACGATAGAGAACGCAAGAGTCTCTGCGCGATAAGCGATTGTGCATCGAATCTGATATTTCTTTTATAATTCGCACATGCGCATTTTCCACTTTCAAAGCGACACATCTAGTCAATGTATTTCCTAATTTTTCCACTTTCAATTACAATTGTGTTTTGAAGACCACTGACATGAGTGAAACTCTACGAACTCAATATCTGTTCTACGAGGTTTCTTCAAAAAGTATTGCGAATGTTGAATTTCTGCGGTTTACGTATATTCGATTTTCAATTTTTTTGTGGTGTTATGTTGGTACTCATGTCTCTCAGTTATACTGACAAGTTCGGCCATGTTGAATGTTCAGCTAATTTTTGACAGCTGCTTTTCTTGCACGTGTTTTGGCTCGTCTTCGATTTTTGCCTATTCCAAAAAACGGATCAAAGCATCTCTATAAAATTTTGTGTGAAAGACAAAATTAAGTGCGTATGTGGCATATGGTGAAGTTGCTTTGGACCGAAGCAACTTTTATCAGTGATACAAAATGTTCTCAGGGGGCTGAGAAGATGTGAACGACGAAGAGCGTGCCGGACGCCTGAACACGTCAACAGTGATGCAGTGAAGAAAATAGTATTGGCCAATCGTCGAATCATTGTTAGAGAAATTGCTGAGGACCTAAACATATCGATTCGTTCCTGCCATTAGATTTTTACCAATGATTTGGGCATGAGACAGGTTGCCGCGAAAATCGTACCAAAAGCTGTTGGGCTCTGTTCGCGACGACTCAAATTTGCTCCAGAGGGTCATAACTGGTGACGAATCATGAATTTATGATTATGACTTGGAAACCAAAGCTTAATCATCCCAATTGAAGCTGCCGCACAAGCCAAGACCGAAAAAAGCGCGCCAAGTTAGGTCGAATGTGAAGGTTTTGCTTACAATTTCCTTCGATTGCAGGAGTTCTTGCCACAGGGTAGAACGGTCACTAAGGAATATTACCTAATTAATCCGCCTGAAACGCCCAAATTGGGAATAACAGAAATTGACTTTTGCACCATGATATCGCTCCTCCTAACACATCGTTGCTTGTGCATGAATTTGTGGTCAAAAACAAAACACCAATAACGCTGCAGTCACTATATTCCCAAGGTTGACCCCCTGTGACTTATTCCCGAAATTGAAGAGGCCCATGAAAGGACGACGCTACGTTACGATTGAGGAGATAAAGACTGCATCGAAGGAGGAGCTGAACAAACACAAAATTCGCGATACTTTTTGAACAGACCTCATATAGTCTATAAGACTTTTGATAAGAACGTTGAGGAACATGCCTGAAAGTACGAAATATTGTCAAGAATCATAAATTTCGCAAATGTTTCCGCTAGTTTGTAGCGTTCACTTGTGAAGGGTGAAAAGTTCTTTTACTTTGTGTACATATTCACCATTATGTAATAAATAGTGACTAAAAGTCCAAAGTAAAACTAAAATACTGATATGCAAGGGATGAAAAAGTAGGGAAAGAGCGAATATAAAGATAGGAGACGAAAAATTAGAAGAAGTGGCTGATTTTAGATACTTAGGAAGTCAGATAAGTCAGGACGGAAGGAGTAGTAGGGATATAAAGCAGAGGATAGCGCAGGGTCGTGTCGCCTTTAATAAAAAGAAGTCACTTCTATGCTCGCGAACGGTTAAATTAGAAATTCGAAAAAGGTTGTTAAAGGTGTATGTTTGGAGCACGGCGTTGTACGGATGCGAAACATGGACAGTGGGCGCGGCGGAAAAGAAAAGGTTAGAAGCGTTCGAAATGTGGTGTTATAGGCGAATGATGACGATAACGTGGGTAGAAAAGGTTAGAAATGAAGAGGTATTAGAAAGAATAGGAGAACAGAGGACTCTATGGAAGTCAATAAAAAATAGGCGAGATAGGTTGGTAGGACACCTTCTGAGGCATGAAGGTCTAGTCAGAGACATTAGAGAAACAGGAGTGAGGAGGGGTAGAGGTAGACCTAGATTAGATTACTCTTCGCAAATAGTTAAGAATGTGGGCTGTTCTAGTTTTAGGGGAATGCGGGGTTTAGCTCAGGATAGGAAAGAGTGGAGGTACATGTCCAACCAGTGTTAGGACTGATGACCTTATGATGATGAAAAGTCCAAGTTCGTAACTTACCAACTGTATCCATGTCATGTACTTCTTCCACCAAAGGTATTTTTGGTATTTTGGGCCAAGAGCAGCGATTAGATAGTAAGCGTACATTATGACATGAACGAACGAGTTCAAAAATCCTATTACAATTCCTTGTTCTCCTACGATAAATATTTCAATTAACACTTATTTTATGTTAACATGTTCGACTGTTATTTTATTTAAACAGATATCCTCAAGTTTTAGCAAAAAGGTTTTCTGATTTAAAATTAATGATATTGACTATTGGGTAACTTACCTGGCAAAAACTTTAAATAACACCATGAAAAGAACATTGTGCAGGAATGATGATATACGTGGAGGAATGTGACTTGATTTTGTTTTTTCCTTAATACAAAGAATACGGTGTCCAGAAGTTCAACCACTTTTGAAAAAAAGTACCACCATGCGCCGGTCGAAAGCTAAAATAATAAAAAAGTGAATACCATCTAAATAAAATTAAAAACACTAACCACAAATTCAAATTACAACGACTTAGTTGCCACCATAGTCGAGTCAAGTTGAATTATAATTTGAAACATATATACCAAGAAATAGTGACTCAATTCTGGTGGAAACACCCGTTGTCGACGACTTTTTTACNTCACTACATCATACAAAATTATTATACGTATAATAAAAACATGAAAGAATATTCAAAACATATATAAGCTACATGTATAAGGAGATTCCATTTGGATTTTAATGTAAAATGCTTGAAGTTATCAACAAATACAGTTGTATATTAAATTAGAAATAATTTTTTCATTAATAAGCAACTCTATTATTGCCACTATTGCTATTAGGCACTAATGCTTTCTTTTTCTTTCTCAGAATTAATTTCAAATTTTTCATCTTAGTTTCTATTTAATCCAAAAATTTACCTATGGTAACGTAATTAGTAATGATTGAGAATATTCAGTTATGTTGATTTGCGAAAGGGACATCATAAATAATTTATAATACTACTACAATCAAGTATTTCTGCATTAATCTATAATGAAAAACTGTAAGAATATAGGAGATAGAATATGAATAAGTTTATTTTTTCCAAACGTCACTTCTATTTTAGCGTTTTGATGATATATTTCAGGCGTCACAAACCAGATTAAAATAATAACGATCAAGCATCAAGACGGTAAATAAAAAACGAAACTTCCGCTAGAATTAGATATGATATTTATACATTAACTTATTTGAATTTTTCATTACTGACATTCTTTTGTTTTATTAAATATCGACCTCAAAACTCGCAGTTGCCCTCAAATATTTTGGCATTTATTAAGATAGAAAAATTCTTACCGCTTGTTTATATTCCATATTTTCGGAAGGATTTTTGCAAAAACTGCTGCTAAAGAGGAAACGAAAAACGTTATCAATCTTGAAAGCTTGACAGCAAAGCCAAATACTAAAGATGACTTGATAAGCGTTGTAGGCAATTAAGACGGTTTTTAGTTCATATGGCTTGCGCTTGGACATTATCTGAGGACCCAGTTTTAGTACGAAAAACAGATACAGAGCTAATATTCCCATAACAGGGAACGGAGATTGCATAGTCCACCATGAGTCAACGAGAGGGTCTGCAATGTAAAATCACGAAGGATAAATAATTATATAATAAATAATTAAAGAAATATTACGTACAGTCACCACCACCACCACCATGAAATATAGCGCGATAAATGAGCAATTTTAAAATGAATATTTACTGACAAGAATGATCAATTTCAAGTAGTTTCAACACACAGCACAGTTTAGTTTAAATTAGGGCAAAATTCAAAAACAGTTGATCTTACTTATATGTCATTTTGGATTTATACAGGGTGTTTCACCTAAGGCGGTTTTGTCCAAAACTCTGTTATTATATACCTATCATAAAAAAACCGGTTTTATATAAGTTGTCCGGAATGATATGGAGTATATACAGAAATTTTTTCAGTCATACAGGGTGTTATTTTAAATGAGATATCCTGTAAATTTTTACATTTTTGGTTTCTTTGTTTAACTTTAAGTCGACTTTGTTAACAGTTCCCTATACCTATCTCTACTAGTTTTTGAGATATTTAACTGTTTCTAAAAAAAAAACAAGACTTCAGTTGTTTGAATGAGACCAAATAACATCTAAACTATAAAAGCTAAAAACAGTTCGTTTTAGTATGAATTACCGTATCTTTCTTGCTACGGACAAAATGTGTATTTTATTTAGAGCCGGAAATATCGAAATCCTACAACACGAATAACTGAATAAAAACATTGTTTCTAAGAAATAAAAAACTTGGTTTTATATGATCGTCGATGATTTTTGACACGGATTTAAACATAGTATTTTATTTTAGTCTTTTGTTCTCCGTATTATACGCTAAAAAAAGGATAAGTCCGATAAATCCGTTAAGAATTACCTAACCAAAAAGATTACATCTAAAATCCGACCGAACGAAGTAGCAACTAGAAGCTAGTCAATTTACAAATGTGTCTGCCTTTCAATTTGGAATTCGCTATTCGAGACAATGAGCATAAATATTTCAATTAAATAAACGTTTAATTAATAAATAATGAACTACATTGAACAATTACGTTAATAAATGAGCAATTTTTCAAAAATGTAACAGTTTTATTGATGTTGGTTAGATTCATAAGCTTGAAAATTTAATGTATAACAGGGTGGTCCAGTTATATTTTCTGTAGTATATGTAGTTAAAGGACTGTAAACCTTTTTATATTGCCAAAAAGTTGGATAACATGAACAAAAACCATAAAATATTTAAAAATCTCAAAACAGGACGTTTTCACAAAAGAAAAAAGACAATTTTCGTTTCAAATGAAGCGTGCAAGTGATTCCGAAGAAACACCCCGTATCTTATTATATTATGATAAGTAGTGACAAAATAGATAGGACAAATTATAAAAGCAAGAAGGGTGTAAATCAAGCAGTAGTCAAACTTATTTAAAGGAATGACTGATATGAATAAAAACAAAATAATTCAAAAACAATTCGGGTTGACGTACAGCATAAAACGTAAAATTAGAGTGGTGATACTTGAACCAAGTACATATCTTGTACAAAATGTCAGAAATTATTCTTACCTTTTTTGGATTCCAACACTTCGTTGTAGTTTTCAACAACCATATGCATTAAGTTAGCCATTTTTGGGTAGGTACCTGAAACACCCCACAGTTATGACAGAATTAATCAATAATTAATTGTGGTGTTCTTAACGGAAAGACATCTAGCTGAATAGATGTCTTATAAACAAATGGCTATCGAAAATGTAGGTGACATCGTTTTATACGTAATTAGGGAGATTGAAGAGCATAATTTGGTGAAAAATTGGTCGCGTGTACCAATTTTCAATTGACTTTGGAAAACAATGCAATTGTGCCGAATTTACATAAGTCAAGGTAGATGACCCACATATACTTAGAAATGTTACGTATGGTTTAGGTAAATTAGGGTTACCAAATTTATTGTTAGATTAATTTTAAAAAGTCAGAATTTTTACATCCAGCATCGGAGATGGATCGATCTGTGAAGAAGTCGCTATTGATGCTAGCGAAACGTTAACAAGTCACTCCGCTCTAACCTTTATAGTATTGGCAATATGGGCGGGTGAGTGGGAAAATTATTCAGATTAATTTTTTTTAAGAAATTTTGTTACCATATTTTTAATAACTTTTTGAAGTATAGAAAATAGCGATTTTCACGTATATAATATATATTCATGCTTCAAAAAATCCCGACTAAAACACGGCTGAAAAGAGGCCATTTCTTCCCTATTTCATGACAAAAAAGTTGTTTTTTGCCACTTATTTAAACTGTATCCAATCGGGTTACCGGCTAGGAACCTATATCGTTGTATTCAGGAGTGTCTTTCAAACAAAATTGCTTATTACAAAAATGTAATCCGAATAATTTTTCCCACTTGCTCACATTGATTGAACTGTTCGACTCGAATCAGAAAAGCATTGCATTGGAAAGACAAAAATAAACAATTAAAGAAGACATATTAGATTGTTTCAAAGAGACGATTTGCACATATTTATTTGAAACATTATTGAATCAGCAACTTTATTCGGACAGGTTAATCAGTAGATAGCTATCATTTTTATGCATTAATTATTTATTTATTTTCTATGAAGTCAATGGTTAATGTTATTATATAAAAAAAAGTGTTTGAATAACCATAAATGGTTTATAATAAAATAACATGGTTATTCATAATAAGGAAATTGCTTCAAGGTTGATGGGATTTTCTTTTGTAATACTTTCGTTGTAAATGTTCGTGCAACACTACTGCATATACACAAATACATACACAGATAATAGATATAGATACATATATATTAAAACTAGGTCATTATGCATTCACAGAAGAAGATTTTTGCGTTTATTATCCTATTGTTGGTGTCAGATTTCACCTGATTAATCAAAACAACTTTTGTTAGGTTTCATTTAGCACAATAAGCAGAATGGAAAGTTAATTTGTATACACTGGCAAGATGTTATTAATTATCAATACAAGTTCAGTATCCAATTTTTTATAACACACATCATGCGTAGTCAGGTCCTTCTTTAAATAAATACATGTTAGATGCATTTATTTGGGTTAACGAATTGATTGATTTTAGATAAAATAATAATGTAGAAGGCAACAGTAGATGATATTAATAATAGAGATACATATTTTTAATAGAATTAAGTATAACAATAATAGTGATGAGGTTCCTAATTCTACAATGAAGATACACTGGTTCCCCTGTACCCTTTGAAATTGGGGTCTAGGTCTACCCGAAAGGGTTGGGGGTGGGTGGATCGAAAGAGGAGTTCTCCCCCACCACTGTACCATAAAAAGTTCGTGGCGGTCTCACCCCCATAAAAAGTTATGGGAGTTCAAAGTTAATAAATATGCCAACTTTTATACATTTCTAGGCATGTAAATATTTATATAGTCATTCTTAAACAATATTTAAAGGTAAAACTAATGAAAAATACATAAAAATATTGAGAAAGTTATATAAAACATTATTTAAATATCTTTATCAATAGGGTAGGTTAGGTTAGGTTATCGGGTTTTGTTCAAGTGACCACCCTCTTTCCATCCCCCACCTCCACCCGCTTGAAAATATTTTTTTTATTGAATTTTATTTGAATTACAGTGTATGAAAATTGACAAAATAATCAACTTTTTATGTGGGGTGAGACCGCCGCAAATTGTTTATGGGGTTTACTCAGGTGACTACCCTCTTTCGATCCCCCCTACCCGACCCCCATCTAACCCCTATAACCTTTTATGGGGGTGAGACCGCCATGAACTTTTTATGGTAGAGTGGTAGGGGAGACCTCCTCTTTCGATCCCACCCCACCCCTTCGGGGGTGGGGGCCATCATCTAGACATTTACCGAAATTGGTCTTAGTTAATTTAGAATTATTCTATTAACGAATGAAAACAGGCCTCCCAGTTTTTCTCAAAAATGAGACCAGGTAAAATCGAATTCTTGGCCCTCATACCTTGCAAATTTTGTAAAAACCCTGAAAACCGCCTTCAATAAATCAATTTAGTTGATAATACCCACATGATAAGCGATCAAACTTCTTAGTAAAGTTCGTTGTGGTAAATTACCGGTAAATTAATACCATAAGTTAGTTCTCTGACAAAAATGAAATACCTTTATGAAATACAATTTAAAAACAATACAGGGTGTAAGTAAGTAAGTAGCAAGCATTGAGGGGGGGGATTAATTAGGTGCAATAGTGAGTAAAGTAGCTTGGTTAAGAGACAAAAATATTGTAAAAAAAATTCATAGAGAAATAACGATAACAAATAAGCAACTACATCGATGAAAAATGTAAACAGTGACGGTTGTGAAACGACTACTAAAGTAAATATCATAAATATGAAACACTTTGACATTTTTAATAGTGGTTGTTAATAGGAAATATTAATATGAAAATTAATTTTCTATTTTCGATTCCCGGCGAGGGTGTGACAAATTTTCTTTCATTAACCTGAGATAGTTTACAGTGTGTAAAAAATTGAAAATGAATTTTCATATTAAAGTAAATATCAATAGCTTACTATTATGCGACTACACATAATAATCTTTAAACGCCCATTGCGACAACAATTAATTAAATAACTACTTTGTTCATTATTGATAATATGCAATACTGTTGTTTAAAGTACAGCTCCACATGGTAATAAAAACACAAAAAAAACAAAAGAAATACTCCTACAATACGGATGCTGCAGCTTATTTAATGCGGCGTTGCAATGTCCTATTTTCCTGCAGGGCCGGACTGTACTTTTAAATGAGTTTTTCTCGAAAACGGTGGACTTTCGGACGACTAAACATTTACTTATTTGTTACTCTAGTTTTGTGGTGCCCTATTACTTCCTGCTAGCTTGCTACTTGTTTCAAAAACTCCCTGTATTTTAATTTTATGCATTTGTGTTATTTTATTTCCGGATATAATAATAATCAATATGTCATATTAGAATAAACTTAAGCTTGAATACAACATACATAGTACATATATTGCAAATTCTACATTCAACCATAAGCACAATATAAAAATTCAAGTTTCTATTAATGAATATTCACAATCGACTAGAGCCGTCGATAAAAATATGTAAAATATATACTGAGGTACAAAGAACTTAAAGATAATTTACATTTTCAAAATATTACTTGCGTATTTGTTACCTATACGCATATTAACAGAATTGACGTAGTCAAGGAGGAGGCCCAAGCAACAATCTAAATCTATGCATACCTATAAATAAAATTGAAGTGTCTGTTTGCAGTATCGAAATACGTGTTTTTTGAAGCTAATACGGTTACTTTTACGTTGCTAAGACACAAACTGCCGCAAAAAAGTTGAATATATCCTAATTAATATTATAAATGGCAATGTGAGTTTGTTTGTTTGCTACAATTTCTCGCCTTAATTACTCAAGCAATTACCCTGAAATTTTGTACACACATTGTCATGGGTACAGAAAAGGACATAGAGTACCATTTATCCAGAAAAACAATACTATTCCCGAAGGATAGCAAAATTATTTTATGTGGTCGTCTATGATCTTTAACACGTATTTAGAACATCAACGCGAGTGAAGCCGCAGGGTAAAAGCTAGTTTTGAAATTATGGCTGAAATAATTTGCCTGGTCTAATAATATTTTCCTAGGCAATTGGTATTTGACTGGAATGATTACTTGCTTGCAACATATAAATCTTATACGAAAATAAGATATAAGAAATAACACTTGGTACACTTTTGTTTCACGGTTTATTTAGAACACTAACAATTGTTTCGGCTGCTAAACCAAAGAAACCAAATAATTGTTAGATTGTTCTAAATAAACCGTGTAACAAAAGTGTACCAAGTGTTTCATTTCTTATATCTTATTCAATATGTTACACCAAGTGCCTAGCCAAGAATCAATTTCTTACTTATACGAAAATGTCCAAAGTTTTGTTACTCTTTTCCGATATTCACTATAAAAGAAAGGGATTCAATTTTAGGTATATCATAAGGTACTTGCTGTGAAATAGACGTATGCAAAATAAAACTCATATATGTATCACATTACCGTTGAGCCAAATAAGAAAATAAAAATGGATATTGCATAGGCTGAGAATCGAACTCGGGTCAAGCACATCCGAGTAGGAACGTAAAAAATTGTTCTTATTGTAATAATGTTATTCTTTTAAAATGTCAAAACTTAATGCATAAGCGTGAAATGTACGTACATTTTGATGTGAATGCAGAGTGGTCGAATTTCGATTACACGTGATTTTTAATAATTATATACGTAACAACTGCCGTTGACAGTTGCGCGCTGTTTCTGCGCATGCTGTGATAAAGCGGAACTTCCGTTGCATACTAAAATATTACACGCGAAAATTGAAAATTGTTTCTCTAGCTATCTTGTATGGAATAATCTTTAAAACGGCTGAACTAATTTATATGGGACTTTACACATACAAGTGATTTGGGCCACTTTTCAAATTCCTTATTAGTATTAACGATTATATTTATTATAAACAATTAGAAATAGTTTCACGCGTCCGAGGTCGTGGGTAAAAGTTGGTTCATAATATAAAAATGGGTCAGTTTTAAGATCCAAACGGAAGGTGTAAGCTCTTGTAACAGTGAGTGCGGCAGATCGGGTTATTGAGGTCATAATGATTCTCTATACGATCGCCGAATTTCCGAATATTACTTTTGCCGTTATTTATTATTATAGCAGGTGTTGAGACAACGATCTTAACTTAGGAATAAATAATGCCTCTGTTGTTACAAAAAATAGGAATTAAAGCAAAAGTCACTAGAGCTTGAAACGGCTCGTATCTTATGACATAAAACATTGGGATAAAAATTTTAAATTAAATAGATTTCAACGATATAGAAAAAGAGACATCAAAATGTTTGCAAATATAGAGACTTCTTCTGGGTTAGTACGTGGGAGGTTCGTTTGACTTGACGTTTCGCTGCTGATGCTGTCAACTTCTTCAGAAGCTTTATTCTGAAGAAGTTGACGATTCCTTGCGATGGACAGCATGAGATACGAAACGTTAAGTCCACGACTGAACCCGGAATAAGTTTCCACAGTAAACAACAGCCATAAAAGCCTGAACTGAATGTTGTGTTTTCTAGTAGTTTGTTATTAATCTGAAACCGTGTTGTACCTAACAGTTGTTACCGGAAGTTATAATAAACTGTATGAAAATTTCGAGTGGTATTACTTAATAAAAGTACCTATAGTTTTTTTGGCATATATCTCATTCGTAAATTAATTAAGTAATTTATAACACTACCTATATATTGTACGTACGTCAAAAATGGCAGATACCAAAAAAATATGAATGGCAAAACACTGATTACAGAATGAAAACATTAAAGCAGGTTCTTTTGAACAATTTACTGTTCAAAAAAATGTAACAATCGTGCGTTAAATTAAAAATAGAAGTTTACTGTTGAATTAATATGGAAAAATAAGTGTTAATTGAATTACACACATTTAGTCCGATAATTAACACAATAACTAGGTACTTCTTAAGTTAAAAAAATTAAAAAATCTCTGAACGGATTTTCGCAATTATCTACTTATAATTAGTTAATAAAATAAACGAGAAATGGAAGCAAAATCACTTACTTAAATAGTCTTTAACTGACACATGTAAATGTTTATTTATATTTGACATTTTTTTGTCATTTATTGATTTCCATAGAAATTATGTCACAGGACCCTAATACAAAATCGATTCAATTTAACCGAAAACACTTCTATAAGTAAATAATTTTTTAATTTACATACCCAGGCGCATATAATTTAAGTTAAATAAAAGTTGTAGAGAAGACATCATTTAAGACGATAACTATTTTAGATTAATATCTTATTAATGAACATAGAGTTTAATTTCACTTTAACTTTGTTTAAAATCTTTATTGTGTAATTATTCAGAAGAAGAACTCAACTTCTGTATTTATTGATGCGTTTTCCTTTTAAATATCAGCATAATTTTAAAAATTTTAGTTAAATAATATGAAATTAAACTCAAAGAGATTTCTACGTATAATGTTCATTAATAAAATATTATTCACGACACGTAATCAATTAACTTTTTATTATTCTAAAGTAAGTACTTACTTTTTTTTAATTTCCACAAATAAAAACTAAACAAAATAGGTTCACTACGTAGTTTTAGTCAGTCAAAGAGATAATACGCAAGATAACCCCCGTTTTTCACCACTGTCACACAAGTGAAGAATAAGAAGCAGGTTAATTGGCTGAATTGGCTGGTGCTCATACCGTCTCCGTCGGTCAATCGCGAAGAAATGGTAAGAGTCGAATGCCAAGGTCTCAGATACTATCGCTAGCATATGCACTCACCTACTGCAGGAAGACCCCTAAAAGAAATTACAATCAAATCGATTCGACGAGTGTTTCTCAAATCCTGAACACGAGACCGATCGACTATGAAGACCTTATGGAATCCTTTTAAAAGAGTAATCTCTAAACAGGATGAAAAATTATTTAAAGAAAGAATAATGATCCACCAACTCAACCAGCTTGAGGTTTTTGAAAATTTATTGATTGAATTGAAAATCAAACTTTCCAAAAATTCATATTTGACTTGCTCATACCTTCTGTCGTTGCTACTTATTTGAGTTAATGTCAAGCAAATTGAAGATAATTTTCATAAAAGTACTTATTCAGGTTTCGAAGAGACACAGAACACTGTGACAGTCTCACACAACGATGAAATGATTGAACAGCAAAATTTGCTATTTGACCTATATCAACTACTTAGTTTTAAAAACCATTTGATTTCCCAAATGCTTGAAATGTAGCTATTGGGATTGTACTTGACTTGATTTCAAGTCAACTAGCATGGAAACGTTAATAAAGTGAAGTCATAAATCCCTAAGAAAGTATGTTTTTAATAATCCTAAAGAAATTGTGTTTTTGTATGATCGATTTATTTAAACAAAACATTTTTGGAAAATTGTTTTAACCAATCAATGGTCATTGTCGAAAAATGTCTAAATACAATCTGGGAAATGTGGATAAACGTTTCGAAGTTATCTACCTCAATATGAAAAAAAGATGAATCCTACAGGTTGAGGCTGTTGTCTCTCGCTGTCCTTTTTCTCGGAAAATAGTCAAAGCTATCAGGCTGAAATAATGATTAATGACCTCATAGATCCAGTAAAAATTTCATGCTTGTAATCTATTGTATTAAAAAAGAGACAGTTTTGAAATTCGTTTTTCGTACAATTGACCCACTGGCCAAAATTTGTCGGCTGTAATTTGTTAATTTAGAATATTGAACTTTGGCAGGTAAAGAAGAACTTCTTGAAATTGTCAAGCAACAAACATTTTCAAACAAATAATCATCTAACTATAAGCAGGTAGTTCGTTTTCGTCATCATTTAATTATGTGTGTTAATAGTCAATTACTTCTAAAATATTCTTTTGTGATTTCCAATACAAAAATGCCTTTTTGACCGATTTCATTCGATAATATATCATTTAAACCGCTTAATAACCAAAATATTTTATAAATCCATCGGTGTAAAAGAAAAGACACTCGAAAATTGTTTAAAACAAGTCATAAATAGGAAAATGAAAATGAGAATACGGCTGAATATTAAAACTATTTATTCTTAATAATTTATAAAGGATTTTCTTTGTTTAATTTAGGAAATAACGATATCCAATTTACATTTTTTGACACGCAAAAGAACTACTAATTAGACTGTTGTTTAAATATTACATTAACCTTACAAGTTTATGTGTTTAACGTGTTTATTATGGATGGTACTTTTGTTCCTAATTGATAAATATGTGCAGAAACAAAATTAAACAGGAAAAAGAAAAACATGTAGGCACCTAAAATAAGTGTGTACTTACTCGGAATTAAAGATGACCCAAAACTGAAAGCGTTATTTCGCAATCGCTTGATTAATAAAAGCGAGACTTATTTACACGTTTGTATAATGCGTTGCGGCATACGAGAAGCTCTTACTGAAAATAATTTAATTTCATAATTTATCCTTGTAATTTACCTTATTTATAACAAGATTAACGCTAATAACCCCAAGGCTTCTCTCAATGGAATCCTTCGGGCTGCATTATAAAACATACTTTATTTTCAACGAAAAAGTTTATCCTATAGCAACTCAAACCAACAACATATTTAATTTTCTAAAGTAATAGTAAATCTTAATGGTATTTTATAAAACAAAAGTTGGCTGGTTCTAAACGCCAGTCCTTTTTTGAGGCGTCGCCATATTGTGAAAATTCGATATGCAGTGGATTGGACCAGATTAATTTAAAAATCAGAGATTTGTTTTTTAGGAAAACGATCGGAGACGTCGATCTTTATTTTTGGCTACGGGTTTTTCATACAAAATTCATGTATACAGGATGACCCAAAAATAAGCGACTACCACCGACTTTATTTTATCAAAAAGAAGCACCTATTTTTAAGTACATTTTTCAATTTTTCATCGAATTTTAACTGGGTTTCATGTATCGACATCGATATACCTATCGATAACTGTTGACAAATTTACGAATGATTTCTTTCAAAGGAAAGATGTGTAGGTTGGAACAAACACATTTACAGTTAGGGGTTTGTTTATAGGTAATTTATTAAACAATACAACAACACATTATTTAATTAAATGTTCAAATTGGTGACCATTAACTTATTGACAATAGTCAAGTTGATCTTGAAGGTCTCTTAATGGTTTAGTTAAGATTTGTGGCTGGAATTGTTGTATTCCAGTTCTAATTATGTTCTTCAATTAATTCATCAATATTTTCCGGTTTATTGAAGTAAATTTTAGATTTTAGATAACTCCATAGATAAAAATCTAGTGGGGTCATTCGATAACGCTTCTCCGTTTAATTCATCTAGTTGGAAAAACATTGATAAGGTAATCTCGTACTGTTTGCAAATAGTGTGGAGGTGCTCCATCCTGTTTGGACCATACCGAATCTACTGGTATATTTGGACTCTCAGCATCTGGATAAAGCCCAGTTAATCTGGATATTATTCAATTTTGAAGTTGGTCTAAGTACATGAAGTACAGTTAAAATTCGATGCAGAATTCAAAAATGTAATAAAAAGTAGGTGGTTCTGTTTGAAATTCAATATTATTCCTACTGTTGTTGTTGTAATAAAGTTGGCGAAATAAATTTGCAGATTGTTTAATTAAAAATTCCTTTACTTTAGATGAACCAAAAGTAAAACAAAACCCAGAACCGTAGTATAGCTCCTCGGGGAGGAATAGCACGGACGCAATTAATACTGACGAAACCTATTAAAATTTAAGGGATGAAAACAAAAGAGCGGTAAGGTATTTCTATTATCATATTTTGATGATATGCAGGATCCTTAACATGTCAAATTAATATAAGTATGCAATTTTATGAATGGAATAATTTATAACTTGTTATAGGAACACTTTTCTCATCGACACTTCCTTTTACGTTAATGAATTTTTGCGTGTTGTTGACCTCTTAACGTCGGCATGATCAATTGTTTTTAGAAAAAGTTACAAACGCATTTTATTAGTTGTTTGTTTTTTGTTTTCGTTAAAAAACAGTTGTTGGAATGTAAAATATTTATTAAAAAGGTCATTGATGTATGTAGCACTGTTCCTACTAAAATGTGTTACAATACTTTGTGTAGAAAGAAATTGAACGATATAGATTAAGTTTAAATTAATGCAGTTTTTGTGGTTTATTAAGCGCAAATTAATAAACTGTTTATGTAGCCTTTTCTTATAATTTGTGAAAAATATTTCCGGTTTCTAAACCGGATGATTGGTTGAGGATGAGGTAAAAGTTATTAAATACATTTAGTGGGACATGTTAAAAAATTTTTGCATTTCATAGGATGGTTTCGTTCACGACCTCGATCGCTATATGGATTTTGGGTCAACATCAACTCCACCACAACTACATACCTTCTTAATCAACACTTACCTTCAGGTGCATAAATGAAATTGACGTCGTCTTTTTGTTATTGAACTGTAAGTAATAAAAAATAAAAATAATAGATGAGCAGTCAAAAAATGATCAAATAAGTTTTGGAAGTCCCTTCTTAGACTCTTGTATTTGTTTAATTTTGTTGACTACAAGTTGATTGACATGACGACCAAATTGTACTACACTACCACATTTAAGTCTAAATGTCTCTAAGGTTTTGAATAATATGTTTATGGTGGGAAAACTATTGGAAACTCTCTTGTGTCATTAACAGAATTAATTTCTGTTTCCTTTAATGAATATTCAACATTATAATAAACTCTGGACAGTTATTTAAAGTAAGATTTATTCTATTTCTAAGACACCAAATGTATATCATTATCCAGATTATAGTGAAGAGTGCTACAATCGCTGTTATTATTTAGTACTCTAAACAGTTTTAAGTCATCGACATATTATGAAAATTCAGATTTAAATTCGTAGACAAAGATATTAAATAATATCGGCCCAAAAAGGGATCCTTGGGGAACTCCCGAAAAAACCTTAAATTCCTCCGAATAGAAGTGATTTAATTTCACTATCAATGATCTATTTATCAGATAAAAATTTAGTCGTTTATGTTTATAAAAAATACTGTTCCCGAGTGATAGAAAAATAACTTTTTAACTCGAAAAAGAAGGGCACAGTAAATACTGCTATTCTATTCAAAGTGTTCAAATTAGAGACTTCAGTTTTATCCTGATAATCCTAGTCGGGACTTAGGGACAAATTTATCAAATTATTGTATTTTCGATGATTTTTGACACTTTAGGACATCAATGTGAGCGAAGCCGCGGGTAAAGGTTTGCATTTCATATACGTAACAAAATATGATAAATAAATTATTCTATATTTTGTAAAATATTAGTAATCGCTAGTAATTATTATAATAAAGCAAAATGGACACATACTAACAAGAACAATTGTTATTAGTTTATCATATAACTAGTGACCCGCCCCAGCTTCGCACGGGTGCAATGCTGATACTAAATATATTTTTGTTTTGTTTAGATTATTATCGAAAAGGGGAAATCTTCAAAAGATACCCCCTGAACATACTAAATATACTACAGAACGTCTTTATATACAACATTCACAGTGTTTTTGTCATTAGACAATACAAACCGGCCTCCCGGCCGGTACCGCCGCAACCGCTATGTCCCTGATATTTTAAATCTGTAATATCTTCGAAAATATTCATTTAAATTACATGCTGTAAAGGGCCATATTGATCCATATTAAATGCACAATGTATTTAAGGTACATAATTGGATAAGAATTAATGC